ATTGTGCCAAAATCTTCTCCTATTAGCGGCTAGATTGCCTCCTCACCTCCTCCCAGTGACCCCTAGGGGCAAACAGGCTTGCAGGATCACCCTGGATCCTTAACTCATATAGATCAGCAGCTTCCTTCCTTCAGTAGATCTCCTTATGGGGCTCCTATTTCCCCTGATCAGCCAAGGTATCTCTGAAGGACAATGGCTCACCAATCCAGTGAGCCAAGAAAGAAAGACCCTCTAAGTGTAGTACTTCAAAAAACGACTCCTTTATTAAAAGATTGAGGAATAACACTCACAATCCTAGCAGTCCTCCCTCCTCACCGATGTGTGGGTACACTGCATGTGTATGGGACTTCCTAGGTGTAGCAAGATGGCGTCGCACGCCGGAAGTGTGTCACCACGCACCGGAAACTGCGGACTCGACCTAGTTATTATTTTATACAGTAGGTGTGTGAGCACGGTACTTATTTTTAGACAGCTGGTATATTTATTTAGATTGTGAACACGAGTGTTCATTACGGAACACAGCTATTTATTATAAGTTTGACACCATTTATATTTTTTCACTATTGCTATAAAGTGTTTGATTGTATGAATTTTTTTATCATTTTTAGAGTTGTATTATATGAATTGGTCACATATATTTTTTAGTATTTATTATGAGCGCTACACTATTTATTTATGTATTTATATCATCCACACTTTACTGTTAATCAGTATGTTGATAACAACATCCTAAGAGTCTGCGGATCTCTGCATACCTTAATCCCTTCACGCCGGTGCCTCCCGGCCCTTAAAGGGGTTTCTGATGCCGGGAGGCGGGGAGGGGTTTAGGGTCATGTGACTGCCGTGATTGGCTGTCACAGCAGTCACATGATCGTGAATGTTCCAAAAGCAAGGAGAGATCGGGACCTTTCCGTGGGTCGCTGACATATGTGCTGGAAGCGCATGTTTGTTTACAAATGGTAAACAAATATGCAGCCGCTCGGCGTCAAGGCCCAGCTGCTGAGAGGCCGCATATTTGCGTACGCTCGGCGTGAAGAGGTTAAATTAGACTATACATTCATCGAAATGTGGCCGGTTCAGCAGGGCCTGGCCACATTTAGATTCATGTATGGGCAGGCTGGTTGTATAGAAGTCAATCTATCGATCGACTTGTGTAGAACCAACCTGTTTGGTTTTTCCTGATTGATCAGTGCAGCTGTCTATAGCCAGCAACACTGACCATTGTGTTCTGACGGGTGGGAAAAATAAATGTGTGGATGAGGGAATGAAGGCGTTTTATTTCTTAAATAAATAAATGCCTAATGTATGGGCTGCCTACATTTCTGATAGCTTACATGGCAACCGGAACTTAGTCTTAGTAGGAATCCATGCAGGAGTATTTCTTCTACGGCCCTCTCATCTGCCATGCATGCCTTGATGTATATAGTCCTCATGCACACTGGACGCTTTTACAGCGGCTGTTTTTGGCTTTTGGAATTTTTTCTACAGCCTGTAAACTCCCCAGCATGTTATCCTGTGTCCATGCACACATAGGCTTATAGGCTTTAATCAGCGTTTTTTGGCAGGCGTGTTTTATGGCTGGAACCCCCCCCCCCCCCCCCAGAGCTAGTGGGTTTCCAGAGGAGTGTTTTAGCTGTAAAAATGTTCTGCGGTGTGATGTGCAGAATCGGATCGCATAGGTTTGAATACCCATGTGATCCAATTCTAGTGTGGACCCAAAAAAAGGGTCCTGCACGTTTTTGGTGCGGGTGCAGTGCGATTACAGCCATACAAAATGTATGGCTCAGATCGCTCCGCACACAAATCACATGTGATTTGCACAGGAATTCAGTGCGGTTCGTGTGCAAATCACATGCAATGTAATGCACCGCATATATGTGAACCCAGGCTAAAGTTCGTCTTCATTGCTAGTAGTGCCTCTTGCATTCCTTTTTTTACTGATCTGGATTTAGATACAATGTTATCTATGGAACTGTGCACACAGCTGCATAAATATCAGTAATAGAGCAATAATTACATGAGAATGCCTAAACATTTGTAATTACCACAATTTTCTGGGCGAAGTGGTGCATTATCTGACAGAAATGCAGGGGTGCCAATATTTTTGGCCATGACTCTATATATGCGCATATTGCAATACTGGCAATAAAGAAGAACTGTACACTTTGTATATGATTATATACTATCCTGAATATACAGCTTCAGCACCAGGTTATTTTTCAGCTTTCAGTGCTAGTTTAACCCCTTGACACCGAGCGCATGCAAATATGCGGCCTCTCGGCGACTGGGCCTTGACTCCGAGTGGCTGCATATTTGCGTGCCAGGAGGCTCCGGCGTAATGGGGTTAATAACCAAATTTATAAAGCGAATCATTTAACTACTAGAAGTTGGTCTAAAAAATATTTTTCCTTTACTAGCCTAAGAAAGAAAAATTCAGGATACTGTCTGCAGGGGCCCGTGGGTTACTTGGATGGGTACTTACAGGCACTTCCTATGTGTTTACACTAGAAAGCAGCCAGACTGCCAACAGTATGCTAAGGCCTTGTGCACACACGGTTTTTTTTTTCTCCTCTGGACGCCTTTTTCTCCAGGGGAGGAAAACACAGGTAACAAAATGCACCTAAAGTCATGTTATGCATGTGCATTATTGCTCTTTTGGTGGTTTTTCTGCCGAAACACTCCTCCCATGAATGAGCTGGTGGTGTGTTTTCTTTTTCAGCCTCTAAAACCCCTGTGTATGCATGGACACATAAGCTAATCTACAGGGGCATTAAGCCCCGATTCACATATATGCGGCCTTGCGGGCCGCGTTTTGCACGGGCACGAGAGCCCATTCATTTGAATGGACTCCCATGCCCGGTGACATGCAGAAAAGAAGTCCCTGCACTTCTTCCGAAAACGTAGCCCGCACGGGAACCTTGGTTCCCAGTACGGTTGTGTTTTCCAGTGCGCGCGGCGTGCCATTAGAGCTAATGGCACCCGCCCACGGGTCCGCATTCCTCTGAGCGGGTGGTGCGGCTGCACAGATTTTCATGAGGATCCGCAGCGGTACCACCCTGCCAGATGTGAACCTAGCCTTAGGGTCCATGCACACTAGGGGCAGAAAAAACCTTTGGTAGAAAAAGTAGCATAAAAATGCTCATAGTGGCTCATATCCTGCAAGAGTTTTATGAGAGTTTATGGGCATTTGTTTTTATAAGTGATTTTTTTCAAAAACAATCCCCTGTGCTCATTATTTCAATGTACACTCAAAAACGCTAAATGCTCCTAAAAGTTGCATTTGTGTGCGTTTATGAGCATGTAACATTTTTTCTACCTGAAACTCCCAAAAAACGCAATGCAGAAGGGTTTATTTTCTCTGCCTCTAAATTCTCCTCTAAATGCTCCTGTAAACTCCTGAATGTGCACGGACACATAGGCTAACATCGAGCTGCTTCTACAAGCAAAAAAATGCAAAATGCCTGTATAAGCAGCAATGCCCAATGTGGATGGACTCTTAGGGCTCATGTACACAGGGCGTTTGAAAAACCCTTCTGACTGCTGGAAACTGATGGTTAAAACTGTCAGTTTAGCTGCGTTTACCTACCGCATTTACGCGCGTTTAGCCACGTTTAGCTGCGTTTGCGTTTAGAAGCATTTTTAAAAGATAACAGGAGACCCTCTCCAAATGCCCAGAATGCACTGCAAAAATAGTAAATAATTAACTATTTCAGACATTTTGTGAGAAATAGAGAGAACAGAAGCAGGGAGAGCAGTATGTTTTGAGATTACCTGTCTTTTCTGGTTGTATTCACTATGGATCCCATCATGAGCATAATGCGGCACGTTCTACCCTTTTTTCCTTCACACGAAACCTGGAACTGACTGCACTGGTGTACCAGGTCCATTTGAATATATGGAAAACACTGTGCATGCATTTTTGATGAAGAATAAAGGCTCTGGGACAGCATCTGGATATGGACCAGCCAAAAAAGCTTCTAAATGCAAACACGCATAAACGCGTTTACAAGTGTTTGGCATTTGAAACGCCGGTAAACTGTACTCCTGAACGTGATTTTTGTGCTTTAAAGAAAATGCCTGTAAACTCAACTGCCTGTAAACTACTGTAAATGACTATGTATACATGGACACATAGGAAAACATAAAGGAGAGTTTAGGGGCTGCTGAAAAAATGCTCAACTGCTCCTAAACATTCAGTTTAGCAGCTGCAGTGTACATGAGCCTTAGAGTCAGAAAAAAAAATGTCAAATGCCTGTTAAAGTGGCGTTTTTGACATCCTGTGTACATGAGGCCTAACATAAAGGTTCACATTGGCAGAAAAGAGTAAAAAACAAAGTTCCATTTGCCAAAAACAGCCATTGAAGTCACTGGGACTGTGTTGATACTACATGCCATTGCGGCTTGGTATTGCAGTGCAAAATTCTCCTTTGGGATCATGAAAAACAAGCATTCAGGAGGTGGCAGTATCGCCTCCTGAACACCTGCAAACCACCACTCATCCGCCTCTTAAAAGTGATCCACCATTGTGAATGAGATCAAAAAGTAAAGGGGAAAAGATCTATGATTTTAGTACCTCTGTTTTAAAGTTTGAAGTTAAATTTATGCACAAAGCTTTTAGATACAGACGTGATTGAGGGCTTGTCTTAATGTGCTTTTCCTGCTTGTGAAGTACCGTATATATACTAAATTTAATGTGCATAGTTTGGGTACGCTTTAGGAAGAAACAAAAAGTTTAGATTGGTAAATAGCTTTTTAAGCAAAAATTAAATATTGATGCTAAAATTATGAAAAAATTTACAGAAAATAGCTTGTACATTGTAATGCATTATCACTTGAATGTAAGCCTGTTTTTTACCCATCTGTAAGCAAGTACTGGAAAATGAAAATGAATATGTTATTTTGTAACACTGACAATCATCATTTTTTTTATTTCAGAATATGTGCTTTTATACTGTATAGGATGAAAATTGTGCCTACATACTAACTCAATTGTGTTTTTAATATTTTACAGTTTCTTTGCCTTAAGAACATTCGGACATTCTTGACTGTGTGCTGTGAAGCCTTCAATATGAAAAAAAGTGACCTATTTGAAGCTTTTGACTTATTTGATGTGCGGGATTTTGCAAAGGTATTTAATATACATATATGTATAATTTTAATAGACTGAGATAAGAGTGAGAATGTTTTCTATTTATTTTGTAAATTATACAATCCCAGAATGAACCCCATTTTGTCTGGATTTTCACATTAATATATACAGTCAGGGATGGAACAAGGATGAGAGGGCAGGAGGGGCTGCTGCCCCAGGCACAGGTGTCATGTGAAGGGGGGGGGCACCACTTGGCGAGTTCCTGCCACTACAACCTGACATGGGTAGTTACAGCAGCATCACTACTCTTGTCACATTAGCAGGGGCAGTGACAAGCAGCTTAGAGCAGGATGTCACAGTTTAGCTCGGCATGTTACAAGCACCGCTATTACAAGCAGATTCTGGAGAGCAGAAGAAATCCGGGAGGAGGAGGGCTGTACTCTCTCTGCCCTCCAGCTCCTCATCCTCCTGCCATTGATCGCTCCTTCATCGAGACTGGCAGATCGGGACTGCGCAGTGTTTGCAAACCTGAGTCCTGATGGAGTCCATACCCTGCAGTAGCTGGCATCTCTCGCCACCTCCACTTGCCCTAGGCTCCACCTCAACTCTGGTGTGCCAAGGTGAGGAGGAGGCTGGGGGGGGGGGGGCGGGACATCACACGGCCATCTGTTGCGCTGAATCTAGGGTCTATGTGGTTGAGGAAGAGACTTGCACTGGGAACATGGGAGGAGGGGGGGGTAAAGTAAGAAAGTTGACAGTGTGCTAGGAGGGGGGAAGAAAATGAGTGAGAGGTTGGGGAGGGGGGGAGGGGATTAATGTAGGGAGTGACTTAGGGGGTTGCTGGGAAGAGTGATTTGGGGGGGATTTGTGCAGGAAGTGGGTATAGAATTGTGATAGTAAAGGAAATTTGTTGTTGAAGGGGGATTAAGGGGGAAGGATTTGTGCTATTAGGGATGATTGGGGGGGGGGGATTTTAGCTAGGAGGGGAAGTTAAGGGGGGGGATTTATGCTGGCGGAGAATTTGTGCTCATGGGAGATTCAGGGAGGGGGTGAATTTTTTTTGGCAGGGATTTGCATTGTGAAGGGAGATTTGGGGGGAATTTATGCTAGGGGGAGAATTTGTGTTCATGGGGAAATTGGGGTGGGGTGGGGGATGTGCTAGCAGAATCGATATGGGGGAGATGTGTGCTGGGAGGGGGGTTTGGGGGGACGTGCTCTGTGCTAGAAAGGGACATTTTTTGGCGAGGATTTGTTGGGAAGGGGGATTTGGTGGGATTTCTGCTGGGGGAGGATTTGTGGGTCATGGGGAAATTGGGGGGAGGGGGGGAGGATTTGTGCTGGGAGGGGGATTGGGGGAGCTTTGTTCTAGGAATGGAATTTTTTTTTTTTTGCATTTGTTTTTGGGAGGGGGATTTTGGGGGAGGGGGGATTATGCTATTAAAGGGGAAATTTGAGGGGATTTGTGCTATAAGGGGACATTTGAGATGGGGGGGGAGTTGTGCTGGGGAAGGATTTGTGTTTGAAGGGAAATTTTGGGGGTAGAGGGTTTGTTCTAGAATAGGTGATTTGGGGGGGGGGGGAATTCATGTTAAGAGGATTAATTTTGGGGGGAGAGATAGGATTGGCGCTGGAAAAGGGGATGGGGGTCAAAGAATTGTGGGAGGGGATTTTAGCAGAGGGGAGATTTGCACTGGGAGGAGAAAATTTGGCTTGCAAAGGAAATATACAGTATGCTTAGAAGGTTAGCATGAAGAGTATTGGTTGAAGAAATTTTTGCTGACACGTAATCCCCAGAAATCCTGGGGGGGGGGGGGGGGGGGGGGTAAGGGGGGGCGGCACAGTTTGGCACCTTTGCCTTGGATGCTAGATGACCTCGTCCCGGCATTGTGTACAGTTTTTACCCTATTTATGTTCATAGAGGTGAAAAAATACTCATGTGAATCAAGTTCACCTTCTCACAATTCCTACAATTTTGGTCCGCAGGTAAATGAAAAAAAACCAAAACCCCAAAACAATTATTGTTCAGTTGCTACCTATACATTAAGAAATAGAATGATGTGTCTGTTCTCAGCACAAAATATGGATCAGTAATTAGCACAGATGTTACATTTGCTGAAGTTATAGATAAGTTTAGCGTCTGATTTGCCCCTATGTTGTGTTTATGTCAAATAACTTATCAAATTCATAGGCATTAAAAAAAACTGATTCTTTACTTGAAACTGATATTGAAGTGAGTAAAGCTAGGGAAAAATTACGAATTTAGTAAATCAGCTCCTTGGCATGAAATACATATTTAATGCATTAAGACAAATGTCCAAGGCAAGACAAGTCAATGTGATTGTAAATACTATTTATTTGTTGAGTTATTCCTTGTGTAGTACATAGTCATACTTTGAGGCTTGGTGTTATCAGTTACTTTCATCCTTTACATTTTCCTGTACTTGGAAATGTGCTTAAACCACTAATATTAGTATTTTCACTTTGACCACATACTTACATCCTGTTTATTCATGCTAAAAGTTTACTATCTTACTATCAAAAGCAAGTCCTCTAAATATAATGAAGCTGTGAAATCTTGCGGATCCCATTTAAATTAAAAAAAAAACGCCTCTCATTGCTGGCCCCAAGATTCAACAGGAGATATCCACAAGTCCATTTACCTATACATGTGTGCCCAGCATACTCTCTTATGCGAATGTCAACCCTTGCTATCACTTTTAAAAGGCAGTCCATCCCTTTATATCTTCTGTAGTGTCCTGTTATCCAGTAAGGCTGTCCTTCATGGTGATAAGTCAACAGGACGGGGCATCCATAAAAGTGTTAACCTTTGTGTGATAGAGATTTTCTATAAATCATCAAGTTCCTGATACTTGCTAGAACTTACCTATGAGCTGTACTAAGCAGGTCCTACAGTGCTCTGACCCAGGTTATGTAACCTAAACCCTTTGGGTTATGCCAGTTGCACTTACACTCACTGGCCATTTTATTAGGTACACCTGTTCAATTGCTTGGTAACACAAATTGCTAATCAGCCAATCACATGTCAGCAACTCAATGCATTTAGGCATCTAGACGTGGTGAAGATGACTTGTTGAAGTTCAAACTGAGCATCAGAATGGGGAAGAAAGGGGAATTAAGTGACTTTGAACATGGCATTGTTGTTGGTGCCAGATGGGCTTGTCTAAGTATTTAAAAAAATGCTGATCTTTTGGGATTTTCACGCACAACCATCTGTAGGGCTTAAAGAGACCAGTGAGCTGATAAAAAAAAATATCCAGTGAGCTGCAGTTGTGTAGACAAAAATTCCTTGTTGATGTCAGAGCTCAGAGGAAAATGGGCAGAGACTGGTTTGAGATGATAGAAAGGCAACAGTAACTCAAATAACCACTCTTTATGTTAACATGGGCCAAAATCTCTGAGGAATGTTTCCAACACATTGTTGAATCTATGCCATGAAGAATTAAGGCAGTTCTGAAGGCAAAAGGGGGTCCAACCCAGTACTAGCAAGGTGTACCTACAAAAGTGGTTGGTGAGTGTACAGAAGGTCTGTATTTTAGGTGTCAGCACCCCAAGTGTACTGATGCCATGGCTTCTTGTCTTCTTACCTGAAAACAGCACACCTGCTTCTTAGAACTCATAAGTACATTTCTGATCAACTTTACACTACAACCTGAGCCCCATTATTATCAGCCTGATTGAGTGCAGTGGATTTAACTGACAACTGTACTAAAAATCCCCCCCATCCCTGGCCCTCCTGAATTACCCTGCACTAAAACTCCCCCATCCCAGTTTCATATTTAACCCTGTAGCAAGCCTGCCTTCTCTGTGATGTTTACTATCTAGGGATAGAATTATAGGGATTCGGGGATGGGAGCTGTATAAAAGGCGCTATCTGAGGAATAAAGTGTGGCTTAATGACATGCACAATCCTTCAATATTTTTACCAGGTTGCTACAGCTCATTTTAAGTCCTCATGCACACTGGACGTTTTTTCGTTTTTACAGCGGCTGTTTTTGGCTTTTGCCGATTTTTCCAAAGCTAGTAAACCCCCCAGCATGTTATCCTATGTTTCCATGCACACCTAGACTGTAATCAATGTATTTTGGCAGGGGCATTTTTTTGGCTGGAAACAAATCCAGGACTAGTGTGTTTTTGGAGGAGTTTTTTTAGCTGTAAAAACGCTCTAACGCTATAAAATGCGGCAAAACGTGGTAAATTGCCCCTATGTTGTGTTTATGTCAAATAACTTATCAAATTCAGAGGCATTAAAAAAACAGATTCTTTACTTGAAACTGATATTGAAGTGAGTAAAGCTAGGGGAAAATTACGAATTTAGTAAATCAGCTCCTTGGCATGAAATACATATTTAATGCATTAAGACAAATGTCCAAGGCAAGACAAGTCAATGTGATTGTAAATACTATTTATTTGTTGAGTTATTCCTTGTGTAGTACATAGTCATATCTTTGAGGCTTGGTGTTATCAGTTACTGTCATCCTTTACATTTTCCTGTACTTTGAAATGTGCTTAAACCACTAATATTAGTATTTTCACTTTGACCACATACTTACATCCTGTTTATTCATACTAAAAGTTTACTATCTTACGATCAAAAGCAAGTCCTCTAAATATAATGAAGCTGTGAAATCTTGCGGATCCCATTTAAATTAAAAAAACGCCTGTCATTGCTGGCCCCAAGATTCAACAGGAGATATCCACAAGTCCATTCACCCTATACATGTGTGCCCAGCATACTCTCTTATGCGAATGTCAACCCTTGCTCTCACTTTTAAAAGGCAGTCCATCCCTTTATATCCTTCTGTAGAGATTGTCCTGTTCCTGATTTTTTTTTTTTTTTTTTTGTCCTTCATGGGCTGCTACACCCAACCACCAGTTCATGTCAACAGGCACGGGGCAAAACACACACATTAAAAAACATTACATATACACTACTATCCAAGTGTTAACAGCCACCTCCTTGCGTGATAGAGATTTTACATATAAGCTCATCAAGTTCCTGATACTTGCTAGAACTTACC